TGCCTTAATGACACTTTCTCACCCAAAAAGTTTCAAAAAATATCATTTTCCCACCCAACGTTTATATTCCGTTAATACTAAAAATACACTTTATTTTCTCACGAGTCACGAAGAGTGGGTTAGTGCTGTGTGAACTCCACCTGGCCGTGCCTCCGGCAAGATGGGGTCGCGACACAAGGTAAAATGGTTTTTGTAAAGTGGTGACCAGTAGATCAAATGGTGGTGACCGATTAAATATTCACCGCTAGAAATCAATTAAGAACAGGAAACCCTAACTTTACAGTAGTTGGCAATTGGCAAGAAATCAAATGTCAGAGTGAATGAGGTTTTGTAGAGAGGAGACCAGAGGTTCAAATGGTGGTGACAAGGAGAATTTTCACTACCAAAATCGACTTTTAGTAGTAACGGAATATTAACTTTAAATGGAAAAGTGATATTTTGAACATTTTGGGTGGGAAAAAGTCGTTTACTCTTTAATTAATTAAGACTCGAATGACAAAAGCTTACGACAAAATTCTCATGGAGAAAATTGATAAAAAAATTAGTGGACTCAATCTAGGTTAGCTTCCTATATCAAAATCAAAGTGTAAATCAAAGAGAATAAAAGATGCATGAATGAGTGTGAACATTGGAATTTAGTTATGCTAAGATGATTGTTACAAATATGTCTTTACTTGCTTGTTCTTATCATGCCATATAACTTATTTATTATTTTAACAAAGATTATCTGTACATACTGAGTTTATGTATGAACAAAATTCTGGTTTAGTATTAGACTATATTCTATTAATTTTGATAACATTATTTTGTTAATGATTTCATTTGTCCTGTCTCCAAGATCCCATCAATCTATTAATCTCAATTTATTTACATAAATTCTTGCAATCAATTTGCCCCACCTAACAAACCATTTTACACTTCAACATTTTATTGGGTTTAAGGTTTCAAATGATCATACTTACCCAAGATAATATAAGATTCTATGGTTGAATATAGACTCCAGTTTTGACTTTGATTCGCAAAATGAGTTTGAAGAACTTCTGAGTTAGAATCTGAATTAATACATGAACATAATATAAGATTGTGAGACTCGATGAGAGTCCAGTTTTGAACTCGGGTTTATAAAGCAAATCCAGATTTTTGGATTACCAAAAGAAAAATAAATCAATAAAATAGTTTTAGCGCTTAGTGACATGTAACTAATTGATCTTTTGTTGTCTTTAACTCTTTGCTTACAAGCCTTAAACACTTGATTGGAATCTCAAACTTTCTCAATCAAAGTGACATTCTATATATATATTGACACCCAATTCCAAAAAATGTGGTATATAAATACAAATTTACATCTATTCAAATGGATTTGCACCCCTCTTCTCACCCTCTACCGCATAACAAAACCAACCAGTAGTTTTATTTTTTACACAGAATTGTGATAAAATAAGTTTTAATTAGTGGAATTTAGGGTGAAAACTTAGGCCATGATGGATGCATGAAGAGTATTTTTATGTTGATGATGGCAACTTGGAACTGGCCTCATTTGGGTCTTGCTATAAGATAAAACTCTGAATAGTAGCTTATCATTTAGCGCAGACCATGTTTAAAAATTTGATTATAAAAATCATAAGATAATTGATTAAGGTTGCTTTCAAAGAGATTACTCTCAAGTTTCACTAAAATGGACAATTATTTATATGATTAGAGTATAAAGAAAGAATGAGTTAATTGTTTCCCTTAAACTACTGTTAGATTTTCAATCACAAGTTGATTATGTGATTAATTTTATTAATGGAGTTGCTTTTGTTGACCCCTATCTTCTTCTCGATTACTTCTTCTCACTTAAGTCAAGAAATGGGGTGGCCAAAGGAGCATCAAAGTTTACATGATCTCTCAAGTTCGAGTTCTCACAGTTACTAATAAGGGTAGTCATTAGAGCTCTTTCCAGTTGGTGGTTCCAGGATCTCAGTGGATTCGTTGAAGTACATGCAAATTAACTAGGACACCCCATCATTAAAAAAAAAAAAAAAAAAAAAAGATAATTAATTAAACACTTACCACAAAAACACTCCAAATTAAACTTAGAATGACCAAATTTATGCTGAGAAACATGATTTTTTGAAGTTGGTGAAGATGAATTAAGTTTGTAGAAGTAGTTTTCAAGTTACTTATTTATGAGGCATTCAGTTTTTCAAAATAATTTATTGCATTTCTGGGTTCATGAACTTCAAATGCCTTGGATTTGTTATTCGTTAATGCATGAATTGAGTTTGATGCTTCGACAAGCCAATTAGCAAAGTCCAACACTACGGCCACTTGCTCTTTCATAGCTAATTCTTTGAGTATTATTTGGATTATATAAAGTCATAATTTGAGTACATGCACGTACACTTGTTTTAGTTGTTGGAGTTGTCGACTACTTCAGCATTAATAGATAACGGAGACGCATTCGAGGGTCCTGTTGTCCGGTCAGTGGGCGGGTGCCCCGCTCTCCGGTGAGCGGGCGGGGGTCGCAGAGGCAACGCCCCCGAGCCCGTAGGCGGTTTTGGGCTTTTTTATGTATAACCGCTGTAGGATTTCTTTTAAGTTACTAATTCCTTTTTGGGTTGGGCTTAAGAATAGGAATCCTTGTAAAATTAGGTTTAAGCTCTTAAACCTAGTATATAAACATATTTTTCTCTTGTTATGGGTGAGAGCAATTCATTCATTGTAAACGAGAGAGGTGAGGCATATTGCAATAATATTGATTCAGCTGCACGTAGCCCACATTGGGTGAATCAGGGTAAATCGCGCATATTATTTTCTTTGTTTACTGTTTGTTTTGTTTTACTATTATATTTTATTTCTGTTGTTGTCTCTATTACATTCATTAGTATCTAGTTTATTTGGCCTTTAAAGATATCCAATAAGTATGAGATTATGTCACCACCAAAGCCATGAATTCCAAATCAATCAAACGAGCTTTTTGATAACATTAACAATGTGCAAAAACTTCACTTAAAGACGCAACTTCAACATCTTAAAGGGATCCCAAAAAAAAAAAAAAAAAAAAAACTCAAGACTACGTTACTTTCTCCATAGAGGCCAAGAACTATTTGCATTTACTTTAAGATTTCATAAAATATTTGATGGTATGATTTGTGGTGTTTTCTGTTTTTAGTGTGAATTTGAACACAGCTTACGCATACCTTAACTAATCATCTGAGGTTTTGAAGTTAACGATCGGATAAACCTTTTAATAGTCACCTATATTAACAATCGAGGAGAATCAAACTCAGGACCTCTTGAGTAATACACCTAAGAGTTTTTATCACCCCACTCGACCATCCAATGGTGTTTCATGTTTGATGTGATAAAAGATTTACTTCCTTAAAAAGTAATATAATGTTAGAACATTATCAGCCACATCAGTTGATAAATATCAGCCACATCAGTTGATAAAACATCAATTTTATATAATAAACAGTACAATAGCGGCTATTATATCTCCTTTCAATAAAAAATACTTTAACCCAATATGAAATGTGGACGTTTTGCTTGCTATCTTAGACTTGCTAAACAATTTACACAGAATTTCAAGCTCAATATATAAATCAAAGAAACACATAATTAGAGCAGCAACTTGATGTTTTTTAAACAATAGAAAGATTGGTAATAGCTACCAGTCAATAACTTTTATGTAGATTTTCTCCATTGGGAATATGATCATATGCTTTAAGAGATTAATGTTCACACATAAAGAGAATTGAAAGCTTTGGTTACAAGAATTTGACCCGTTTTCCCACTTAGGGTTTAGGCCAAAGAACAGACAAGAAGGGGTTTCAAACGAGGGTTGTATATAATTTTCTGGGGAATTTCACTTCGTTTGGACTAACCCATTTGGCCATTTGACCACAAAATCTTCAATGTTTATATTAATGTTTCATTGCTTTTTGGTCACTGCCATCCAAATGGGAGACATGGTTGACAAACTCTAAGCAATGAACAAAACTTAGTAAATTAAACTTAGCCATATAGGAAAATCATTTTAGGGATTTTTCTGGTGTAGAAATTTGAAGTTTGTGATGTAAGATGAAATGGCATAACCAGCAGTCAATGAGTAGTTGAGCTGCTTGCTTATTACAGTTTGGTGAACTGTCCATTTTTTCACCCTGTATATTTGTTTGAAGCACATTTAGCCCACAGCTGAACTGTTTGCCTAACATTGCCTTGATCATTCAGTGGGAAAAATGCAGAACTCAATAGCTTTCTAGATGCATACGGGATAAAATATATTATTTTAGAAAATGAATTCTTCTCGTATACGAATTAAGATTTTCTCTCGATCTAAATTCTTTTAAGTCATTATGTTTATTTCTATACACCGTCAAGATATATGTGTTATATAATTACCTTAAAAAGAAATTGTGAAATAATACTTCGGTGCATCCAACGCACGTTCAACCATCCAATAAGAATGTGCTACATAGCACGTATGTACGACACGCATACACCCTTATTAGGTGGTTGTATGTGCAACTGATACATGGAAGAATTGTTTTAGATTGTGAGGGGTTGTATTCTAAAGGGTCACATGATGTAATTTCTGAAGTTTTCAGGAGGGTCCCTTTGATAGATTATCAAAGTTAATTATTTTATCATACTCGGCAATGAGAATGAGAATAGAAGCTCTGAGAATAGAATAGAAATGGCTTTTTTGGATCCAAGGATATACCAAAATTGATGTATTTATTATCTCTTTCAAAATCTCAGGGGAATTTACAGAGAATCTCATAGTTTGAATATAAATTTGAGCCCTTTTGTATAGGGACTTGGTCTAGCAACTTAATATTTAAATCTCTAATACGTAAATCACAAAAAACAAATTCAAAATAAAAACATTATTTTAATATCCTGATAAAATACTATGACATGGAAGCCTTCTTTGTCATCTCGTCCTTGATCTTTTTGAAGATAAAAAGGGGAGGTGTCCATGAGAAAGTGTGAAAACCAAATTTTTGGTTTTAAAATCCCAAAACTCATCTGATTTTCAAGTCTTATTGAGATCCTTAAATTGGATTTAAACAACTACTCCATTATGGGGTTCAGGACTTGAAACTGAGCTCCATTAACAACTCCCATGCCATTGACTTGGGTTCCAAATTAACATACCTCTTTCTTAACATATAGAGCTAACCTTATTTATATATACTCACTTTGTCATCCTGAAAGGACGGCCTAACCTTCGGAGGCAAACCCCTTTTCAGGAAGCAAATAATGTCCTTTGATTTAAGTGAACTTTGTTCTTTGAACTAGTTTTGCGTTCAACTTCAAGAAATTGCTTCACAGCTTGAGCTTTTCTGTTGCAATAATTAATCCTTTTTAGTTTCTCCAAGTTCAGTTCGACTTCAAGGCTTGGAAACAAAGAGAAATATGGATGAGAAGAATGATATGGACAAGATTGATGATGTTATGTTGCCCGGTTTTCGCTTCCATCCAACGGATGAAGAGCTTGTTGGATTCTATCTCAAGAGGAAGATTCAGCAGAGATCTCTGCCCATTGAGCTTATCAAACAAGTTGACATATATAAATATGATCCCTGGGATCTTCCAAGTAAGTTTGTTTATCTTTGCTGCAAAACTTCAAGAATTTTAGTTATTTGTAAACTTGAAGATTGATTGTTGTTTTTGGTTCATTTTTATGCATGAAGAGCTGGCGAGTACTGGGGAGAAAGAATGGTATTTCTACTGTCCAAGAGACCGAAAATACAGAAACAGCGCGAGGCCTAACCGGGTTACAGGAGCTGGATTTTGGAAGGCGACAGGAACTGATAGGCCTATTTACTCCTCTGATGGCATTAAATGTATTGGCTTGAAGAAGTCTTTAGTGTTTTATAGAGGTAGAGCTGCCAAAGGGATCAAAACTGACTGGATGATGCACGAGTTTCGCCTTCCTTCTCTAGTAGATTCAGCGCCACCGAAGAAGCCCTTGGACAAAAACATTCCTGCAAATGTAATGATACTCAACTTGATTATATTTTGCATAGTGTTCTACTATTTGGATTAGTATTTGCTAACATCATAGACTTGGCTTTGGACTACAGGATGCCTGGGCAATCTGTAGGATATTCAAGAAAGCGAATACCATGGCGCAGAGAGCTCTGTCTCACTCTTGGGTCTCAACATTACCAGAAAATACAGCATCAGATATACTAAACCAAGGACCACACTGCACTCATTTGAGTCCAGAGAATGTTTCCTGCACAACCGAAATCGGTTCAGTCATTCAATTATCTGGAAATACTGACTTACAACAAGCCACTTCTGCGAGTTTCTCTGCGTTCGACATTCCCTCATATAAACCCCTTAATCCTTCCTTCTATAAACCATCTCTATTTCCAGCTTCCAGTGGAGACATTCCCAACCACTTTATGTTTTCGCCACCCGAAATCTCAGGTCCTGCCAAGTGTACAGTTGATGCTTCTTCCATGCTCCTGAACCCTGCATTACTCAGTGATGTTAGTAAAGGATCTGAGAATATAGACTTTGAAGGGTCACAGCAGCAAGTAAAGGGATTTTCAATCAGTATGCCCCAAGAGATGCAAGGTTGTATGATTCCTGGAGAAGATGAGTCAGGCTCAAGAAGAAACATAAATGGAACACAAGAAAATAGCCAGTGGGGAAGTATCAGATCAATTGGATTTCCCTTCAGTTTGCCTTCGAATTTGCCGGAGGCCTGGAAGCCGAATTTGCCGGAGGCGTGGAAGCCGAATTTGCCATGGGATTCACCACCCTGTCCTAGTGAGATGTCAACTACATATTCCACAAACAATTGCTACACTTAAAATGTAATTAGTTAGCATACAGAAGAAGTACTTGCCCTCTAGTTCTAGCATCAGTGACTAAGCTGGAAGTATCAGAAACATATCTTATTTTGCAATGCAATGCTATTGTAAAGTTTTCATGTATTCCATTTATACATTTTAGGGTAATTCTACAAGTTGTTTTGTAATTCAGAAGATCAAGATAAAATGAACTAAAAAAATTGTAAATTGCTGTAACAGCAGTCCCCTTTTTAGCCATTTGCCATGTACCAGCCCTTTTAACAGATCTATGAAACAATGAAATCGTGTTGTAAACTTGAAGAGGGTTAAGCTGTTGAATGAATTTGCTGTTCAGATACCTTTTCACATATCGGCAATAGATGGATTTACTTTTTGTTACTAGATTGGCCAAAATTATTCACAATTGGAACTACTCAAATACATACTGGGAAATGCTAAAGGTCCCTCTGATATAATGTTTTTTCAGAGTAAAGCTGATAAACTCATAAACATAGAGGTTATTGAAGTGACATTTTGTTAAAATAGATTTTCTATGAAAAGTTGAATAGTGTTATATTAGTACATCCAACCCAATCTCCGGAGGCTATCTATAGACACTTCCAAAATAGACTTATTTGTCGTTCAATTTTACCAGATGGAGCGACAGATCCGAACCCATTACTGAATATAAACCTGTCCTCAACTGCGCCTTTACATCTATTTAATGATATTTTTTTAAATATTACCAAATGAACAAGTAAACAATCCCAAAAAAAAAAAAAAAATCTCCAAGAGTGAGCTAAAATTTCTAGAAGAATGTTGTAACAGGGTTTTCAAAACCTTTGAAGAACAACCCCACCATTCGGAAGTAAACTAACCAACAATCTCAAACTAAGTAATGTTGAAGAAGGAATCATAATGCGTCCATCTATCATAACATCAAATATAAAATTTTAAACCGAGAACCTGGCAAGTAATCTCAATATCAAACAAACTAAAAACTAGAACATTAAGGTTTGATACAAACTCGTAGCATTGTCATCATAATCTCACACCAAAATTTCTCTCATTCATTTCTTAAAATCCAAAATGTTTTGCTTTCACCCTCCCACTTTCTAGCTCCTTGAAGCTTGCTTTTCCTTTGCTTTCTGGATCTTCAAAACCTTCTTGACAATCTTTTGCTCTTCCACCAAGAAAGCTCGAATTATCCTATCAAATGTTTCCAACAGGAAAGAGAAATCAATTAAATTTGCTATTTATCACATTTGACCAGTGGATAGAAAACAATAAATACTCAAAACTTAAGTATTCACAGCAGTACCTCTCCCTAACAGCAGCTCCAGACAATACGCCACCATAAGGACGATTCACGGTCCTGCGGGTCCTAGCCAATCTTGACCTCTTGTACTCAGTAGGTCTCAAGTGAGGGATCTGCAAAATAGAATTATGTCAATCATTGGAAAAACTGTCAAAAGTACATTTCCTGGGATAGTTGAGCAACAGTGGACCAGTTATCAGGGCTTTTCATCATCAAAGATAGAAAACACAATCTAAGGCTTAAATTGGTAAATTTTAAGACAATAAGTTAACAAAATGTTCACTACCAAAATTAACTCTGGCAGCATCGTGTGAAATATTCAAGACAAGATGTGTACCACAAATCTTCAGCTTAAGCTTAAAATGCTAACTACTGTGATCAATCTACACACTTTTGTTTATCACTTAAAACAGCAAAAATTATTAAGGTGCATAGTTCTGGAGCAATATTCAGATACAAATAAAAAAAGAATATCATTATTCAGAAATTACTTTGGACAAGTCACAGTGCAAAGGAAAACATAGACAATCATAAATACAAATTCCACTACATATACTTATAGATAACTCCCCCCAATACTTTTACATTGCTCAATTACTTGCTAGACCCATAAACACTGAGATAGAGATTATGACCACCAAGAGTCCTTCGTCTAAAACCTAAATAAGTAACCAATGTGAAACAGTAAACGCATTGTAGCAAAAAAAAAAAATGCCCATAACTACCATAAATCTATGATGCACAAAGTGCTCCTACATATAAGTACAGAAAATTCTCTTATATGTGAAAAAATATTTTATTCGAATAAAAAAATTTTAATACTTATCCAAAGATTCTAAAGCACCTAGAACCATAACTTCCTAGTATAGTAGATTTTTCATATCAATGTTTTTTTCCGAATCAACTAAGCTAATTTGAAATCATTGATCTTAACCAAACTAGACACAATTTACATAATTAAACCTTGCAAATATCATAATTACACTCATACATTGATCCCAAAAAGAAAAAAAGAAACCCCAAAAACCGATTTGATCATAACTCTCAAGATTTAAAACAAACATATAGTAGGCATAGCAATCATCATTCAAACTACAAACAACAATATAAAACTTCTATAAACACATACTCCCTGAATTCTCTTGCCAGTAACAGGACACTTGGGTCCGCTTGCTCTCTTCTTCGTGGTCTGATACACCAATTTCCCACCTTCAATCAACATCAAACGACATTTTTTAATACTTACACAAACATAAAAAATGCACCCACATAAAATTCTCCCCAATAAAATGGTATCCGTAAAAAATTCAGTCTCAGATACTAAGAGATAAAACATATCCATATAAAATTTTCACCAATTAAATGTCACATAAAATATGCCCACATTAAGTTTACCATATAAACTAACATATAAAACATAACCACATAAACTTTCCTCACTAAACTAAAATATAAAGCACACCCACAAAAAAGTTTCTGATATAAACTAAACTAAACAGATAAAAAAGTGACTTTAAAGAACATTACCAGGGGTTTTGACGACCCGGTGCTGGTTCGATTTGGTGGCATAACTATGCCGAGTACGATATGTCAATCGCTGAACCATTTTTGGGTATCTTTTTTATTTTTCCTTTTAGGGTTTTCAGTTGGGGAGGCAGGATGATGAAGGAGAGTAGGTTTTATATATGTGGGTTTGAGGGTTATTAAACCCTAGATCTAACGGCTGTGACTCTGAGTTGTGTTAATGAACGGTTTAGACTAACTTAAGTATATTTTGCTATTTGGGCCTTTGGGGAAAGTGGTTTCGTGGAATATTGTTATTTAAATTGTACATTATTATAATTATCATTATTATTTTGCTTAATTTTGAATTTCTAGGGATGTATTTAGTATGGTGAAATGTAAAGTATTATATTTGTAGTATGTATAAATCATATTTTGTTGTAATTTAATATTATACATTATAAATTTTATGTTAACCTCTTCCTTTGTGGTCGGATGACAAACTCTTTAATCATTGGGATTAACTATATCCAAAGGATCTTATCTTCGAGAAAAAAAATTTAGGTTAGATATACACACTATAATTTATAGTATTAGAAACATTTTAGGAAAAAAAAAATATATATATATATATATATATTAGGTTAAATATAAACGCTATAGTCTATGATATTAGAAACATTTTAGCAAATTTAATAGATATAATCTTTAAAAAGTTAACAAGGTATTATTATCTAACTAGATAGTGAAATATAAAACGCTTCAATTTTAAAAAAGTATTACGTACTCTTATTTGCAGGTTTTGATATTCTTTTAAATAAAGATATGTTGACCAACATTTCTCACAATTTTTTTTCACAAACGCGACATAACAGCTCATAATTAGTTAGTTCGCATTTGATCAAATGAGACTCATCGTTGGGTAGGTAAGATCTATTACAAAGTGCAAACTGACTAATTGCGAGTTAACATGTTGCGTTTCGTGAGAGAAAGTTAGTGAAAATGGTTTGTTAGTGTAGTATTACTATATTCTTTTAGGGTAAATAATAATCTCAAAAATTAATTTTAAGGGGTTAAAATGAATACTTTTCAAAACATTGTGGGGAATTTAACATTTTACTATCTCTCGAGTGTTTTTGTAAGCTTTTCTACTCCTTTCAACCACACAGTCAAGATGGCCGAGTTGGTCTAAGGCGCCAGTTTCAGGTACTGGTCCGAAAGGGCATGGGTTCGAATCCCATTCTTGACACTTCATTTTTTAATTTATAATTTAATTCACTATTAACTCTTGTACAGGAGGACTGAAAACATTTCTTTCTTTAGATATATGATGAATTTACAATGAAAGAGCTACTAACAAGGAAAAAGCAAAAACGACGGTTCTACTTGTATCTTCCTACTAATAAAATTAATCTTGCTCAGTTTATTTCGACACCATAACAGTTGATCCGTCGTTATTTTCGACATATTCAAGACTCTTGCCACTAGTTTCATGTCAACTTGAGAGAAGAAGTAAAGAACTTGATCTGAACTATCTTGTTGCTTCTGAAATTTTCTCAATATGCAGTTCCCACTTCTCAATATGTCTTTAAGCTTCTTTTCCTTCTGCATTCCAAAATGAACTTAAACAAATCATATACCATTTTATAAATGGTATGTAGTTCACTATTTTATTTTATAAGGGAAAAGGATTACCTTTTGAAGACTAGTTCTGACCTCTGATAAAAGCTCCAAGTCTAAGGTTTCTTGTGGCTCAACCTGTGTGCTTCTTCTAATCTTTGGTGTTAGAACATTTGCATCTTTATCGGCTCGGACTAATCGCCAAAATATTCTTATTGATTCTTCCATGGTCTCTACCAGCATATCACTTGTGATTGCATACTCGTCTTTCCTTTTCATTTTTGCCTTCTTATCCTTCTTGCTGTCCTCTGCAATATGAATGAATTAGCTTTTGTTAGTCAATGTTTTTAGCTGCTAAATTAAGAAATGTGCACCCACTGAGTTGTTGATGTCCAAGGCCCCACTTAGTTTTTTTTGTTTATTTTTACCTCTTATTACTGGAACCTGAAGAAGATTACGCAGAACGCATCGATTCTTGATATAATTCTGCACACTGGGTCCTTCAAAGGGTTCATTTTCTATGAATCTTTGCATTAACACTTGAAACTGCTGAAGTTCACCAGCAACTTCGTTGTATCTGCGTATACCGTAAGGGTCAGATTCCCATAACTCCAGGGACTTTTCATATTGCCAGTGAAGGATTTCCCAAGAGAGGCACAATTGTCCAACATAAACCACTTCTAGATCACTATGCAACTCTCTAATAAACTTCTTCATCGGGTCAGATTCGGACTTTTTGCGCTTTCCCATGAGGAAATTCTGCGAGAGGAGCGATGACACTCCTGGAGCTGATGATTGGAGGCTCGAAATTGATTCAAGAGGGTCCTTTGATTGGAGAAAGCCTAAAAAATTTACAAAAAGCAAATAAAAGTACATCATCAAATTGCTCACCATATTCCTCAATCATAGATAAAATAAGCTTAAAAAAACTATCAGTGAAGCACTAAAAGCAAGATTTAGGTAAAGCATTTCCAGAATAAATTAAGTTAAATAATTTGGTGGAGGGCCAACTTGAAAATTAAAGTTGGTGGGATGGCATTTGGAGAACGGATATGGACCTTCAACCACCTCAGTTTTTGACGGTGGCCCTTACGGCAAAATGGGTCAGAACTTAGATCTAATTAACACAAAACTAAAATATTCTAAACAGCTTTATAACAAAAAGCATACTCATGATTAAAATTTAAAGGCTTGTATAAACATAGTTTATGCATTTCATCATTGTACAGAAGTTCTTTACTTCTTTTGACCCCTCACCTCTCCCAACAAAAATGTCAAAAATCATATAAAAATTAATTATTACTCAAAATCTAGTACTTCTGCTGAATGCTGACCCAACTAACGTGTAAAGAACATAGAAGTTAGGTAGTGTTATTCATAATAACAATTGATTTGCATGCATGAGCTCAGTGAGAAGATTTCTTAATGATTTTGGATAAAATTTTATCTACACAATTGATCTTTAAAACAGTTAATGAACAACTCTATTGATGCAGAAATTAAGTTTTTGAACAATAAGGATTGTGCAACAAGTAACTGACCTATTGCATACATCTTCTGGTAATTCAAGATGTCAAATTTACGCATCCGTTCTCTGTAACTCCTGTAGAATTTGTGAAGCTCACCCATTGTATCTTCATGCTGGAACTTCTCATCAATCTTCCAAGGCTTCAAATCTTCCATTATTTTCGGAGACTCGGACTCTTCTAGGATAGTGGGTAGCCCTATGGCCCTGACCTTTTTAAGCTCCATCTTGAGCTGCTCAATCAAATCTTGGTGCTCCCACAATGTTTCAAGTCCGTTTGAATCCTCAGAATCCACAGAAGCAGATGAATTCTGCAAACTGGACTTATTAGATTCATTCGAACTACTCGTTGCTTGATTCTTTTCGCCACCAAATTCTCGATTCTTCGCATCCTTTTCGTCATGAAAATCTTTCCCACACAGCATTTCTGAGCCTTGAGTGCTTGAATTCTTTACATCATCAGACTCTTCTAGTTTTTTAAGCTCCTCCATTATATCACTATCTTCATCATCTTCATCATCAGCATCATCAGCGGCGTCATCTTTAAATTTCTGCAAATGCAAGTCTTCCAAATCCCTCTCAATGCCCCTTATGATACTAAACTCAAACTCCTCTTCAAAATTTTTATCAGACAAAAAACCATCACTAGTTGAGCCAATAAATTGACTCACAACTGATAAACCATTGCTTGAAGTCATCGAATCCGCATCAGAATCCGAAACTACCAAGTCCTTTTCTGAAAGAAACTCAACATCGCCTGAACCATCTTCATTATTTGGCTTCTGTTTCTCCTCATCGATCAATGTTGCCACTTCAAGCTTCTCTGCAACCTCTCCTTCTTCATGAACAGTTTCTTCTCCCAAATTTTGATCCATAAAATCACTCTCCGACAAAAAATTATCAGAAATAATCTCTTGATTACCAGAAGGAACAGTCATTGAATCAGCATACAGCTCTTTTATAGTAAAGCTCGCGTCTTTTGGTTCCTCAATGAACCCACTTAAATAATTCTCAGACTTGAACTCATACTTACTAGTGCTTGTAGATGGAACTAAGTCCCAATTTTCTTTATTACTTTCACAGAATTCTTCCAAAGATTGAAACTTGAAATTGAGAAAGTAGTTTGGAGTCTCCTCTTCATCATTCTCTACATCCTTAAATTCAATAGAATCAGATTTTGTTTCTTCAATTTCAGATTCTGACTTTAGAAGACTAGAATCAACTTGATTGCTTTCATGAAGAGAAACCGCCAAGCAATTTGAAGTTTTTTCTTCAGAACTTGCAACTCTCTCACCTCTGCAAAAAAAATTGAAACCAAACTGATAAAAAATTTAAAAACTTTTGACCAATATAACTTCAGAATAAAACAACTTTAATAGATAAATACCTGAAATAGAACTTGTAGAAGAGAGCAAACACTGTAAGAAACAGAGAGGAGACAGAGACCCAGAAAAAGCCATTAAAGAGAAACAATTTCTGATAGAGAAATCCATCAACAGAAACCATATTAACCAAACCCAGATGCTTATTTCGCAACAAAAATCCTCAAAGAAGCCACCAATTTAACCCAAGAAAGAGTTTATTCATTCTGAAGCAAAAACAGAGCAGGAAACACGAGTTCATGAGAACGATAATTTTAACGTTGAAAATTGCATGCAAGAATGGACTTTCCACCAGTTAAAAACTCAGAAAATATGCCAAAAATTCAAAGATTAACATCAGAAGTTGAAGTCTAACCTAATTAAGGAGACAGAGAAAGAATTTCTGAGCCAAAAATTAAGGGGAGAAAAGCACATGTGAGCTACTGAGTTTTGAGCTAATTTTTTGGTTGCTTCAATCCCTGGAAATTCTGAGGACCGTTAAGAGAGAGATATACATATTGAAAGATTTTCTTCAGTTGAAGGGTCTGTTCTGTCTACTATTATGGGCTTTGGAATTCAAAGTTGAGAAGAAGAAGAGGAAATAAAATAAAATAAAATAAAACAAAAAGAAAATTGGGTTAAATTGAAAGTTTACGTTTTCAACATTACTCCATAAAATTTTGCTTTGTATGAGAGAGATTGGTGGATGTAGATTACCCTTCATATTAAGGAACTTGTTAAACTTTTTCTGCTAATTAGATAATTAATAATTAAAATTAAAAACATGTTAGATATGTATGTTTCATATAATGGATAAAAATTATTTATCATCTTAAAGATTATCGAAATTTGTCGATATGACATTAATTATCAAATTTACAAAATTTATTCAATGTCTTAAGTGTTACTGAAATTGTCTTAGATATTATCGAAATCGTCATTTAAATGATAATTATCAAATCTTTTATGAATCTCCCCATGAAAATTCTCTAAAATTAGTTAAATATCATCTAAATTAATAAATTTTGTCAACTTACCATAAATGATGGTGTGAAAAGGCTACTTTACTCCTACTTTCATAGTATTCATTTCTCTAGAAAAAGCATATTATCATGGGCTTTATTTATTTTTATTTTTTTTCTAAAAAGTAATGAAAATGTTTTGTGACATATAAGTATATAACTACATTTTTCACAATATTAAAAGAACCCTAAAAGTATATTAAATCTACGAAATAAAGGGGGCCTTGTTTTTTTTTAATTTAGTGGGTGCTTTGTAAAAAGGTCATGACTTTACTCTCTCTATAATTTAGTGGACAAAAATTGGTATGCCTAATCTATTAATTTGTATATGTTAGGCAAATAATAAAAGCCATTTAAAGGGGAAATGGTGCAACTTTGCTTTATTAAGTGCTTATACTAATTTTAGCTTATAAACATTTAAAATTTTAAGTGATTACGTGTTTGGTTAAAGTACTTATAAGTGACTGATAAGTAGTTGATGTGTTTGGTAAAATGTGGCTTATAAGTATATTTTATTATAAAATAACTAAAAAATGTATTATATTAAACAATGATATACTATGGAATTTTAAAATTAAATAAGGATAATGTGGTAATATACTTGGTCAAACTAGCTTATAAGCAGAGTGTTTATAAGCCAAAAAAAAAAGTATCTCCCTCTAACTTATTTTTTTTGGCTTATAAGCTCAATTTATAAGTTCAAAAAAGTTAAAAACAAATAAATCAGCTTAATTTTAGAGCTTATAAGCTTAGACAAACACCCCCTAAAAAGAACTCTAAAAGTATATTAAATCTACGAAATAAAGGGGCCTTCTTTTTAACTTAACAAAAAGTGTTTTTTAGGAAAAAATTATATAGACAATAACATTAGCATAAACATAATTAGTGGGTGCTTTGTAAAAAGGTCATGACTTCACTCTCTCTCTAATTTAGTGGACAAAATTTGGTTAATTTGTATATGTTAGGCAAAAATAAAAGCCATCTAAAGGGGAAATGGTACAACTTTGCTTTATTAATTACAAGGGAAAAAAAAAAAAAATTTGGTTCCCCTTTCTAATTTCACTTTTTGTCTTTAAACCAACCCATAAATTTAACCAAAACAAAAGTGAAAAGAGTGATGGAAGTTTCTAACCAACTCTCCAAAGCACTAGTTTTCCATTCCACCCTCTTCCTTCTTTTATCCATACCATTTTTGCATGATTCTTAACATACAATATGAATTTGGAGATCATACAAAACTTGATTCCAAAACCTACCCACAACTTTTATTCAAAAGTACAAAAAACCAGCAAGAAACCAAAAGTACTGACCCAATGGTTCGATGTTACTGAGAATGAGTTTAACGAAGATATCTAATCTATAAGTGGGTCAAGGTTTAGAAAGATTGAGTGAATAGAATTGTAACTAATTTACAAAAAACTAAATTAATGGTACTTTTGAGTGGGGTCACTTGCCCCCACTCCCCTCCCCACCCCATCTACTCTTCTCCTCAACATTTTTGAAACTAGATTAATTAAAATTACAGTATATATAACATATGATTATTGCTTTGACACATTCAAATCATTATTATCTGTCTGCCGACTTTTGTATGCAAAAAACTGTATGTAATTTTCAGTGCGGAAAAGTAGTCATTTTCGGGTAGATTGACTTGGAGGGCCACCATGATAATACAATAACATTAACATTAAACTATAAATTATAAAATTTTATATCAAAAAAATATGATATTTTTCAAACACACGTTGTGGGAACTGGGAAATATGTTTATCAGAACAACCTCGTCTATGACAAGTTAAAAAATGTGGACCAAAATCCCATTCAATCACAATAAGCAAACACAAATTTCATCGATATTACCAATTAGAGGACATTAGTTATACACTCAAAAAAAAAAAAAAATTTATTTGAAAATTGATAATAACCTTTTAATAAAAGATGGAAAGGAAGCAATTATAGACTCGTATTTATTTATTTATTTATACATAGATAATATATGTAAACTTTGACGATGTTCACATATAAGATTTTTTTTATATCAATAAAGATTGACTCATAATCTAATCTTACAAATTTTCTCTTACAACTTTGTCGTAACAGTTCACAATTTAACGGATAGAATTCATTTACGAAATGATGAAAATGAGATTTGGTTGTAAATGTAGTATTATTTTTTTTTATATTAATCAATTTCCAATGCAAATGTCTTAAAGTTTTTTATAGTGAGAACTGAATTAAGATGAGCAAATGTTGGCTATCTTCACAAAATACGAAATTAAAGTCAATTACTAATTGCTAAACTTTGCTATGTACATTAAAAACTTTAAGATATTTGCACTTTCATATATATATATATTAAAACCGTGTTGGCAAAGGGGGTGTTGGCTCCACACGTTAAGTTTACTAATAAAAAGTATGAAACAAATAAAGAGGTCAGACTAGAAGGTTTCTTAAGAGAATTATATTCTAACCTCACAGGAAAAATATTCTTGGAAATGTTGTTGGTGTTGACATAACATAAGAATCAATATGGAGACGGAACAAATCCTGCAGGAAGAAATGGACCTGTCTTACCTGAATGACCCACGACCTTTTGTCACATTTCTATGTAGAATCGAACAAGCTACCCTCAGGTCAAATCATGTCTCCTTCTAGATTGAACAGGATCTGGAAACAACTTTGAAATTTCGAGGATTTCCCACTCTATTCACTTTGAATTGTGAGCTACAATCAACTCAAGAAATATATATAAAAAAAAAAAAAAAAAAAAAACCCTTGAAACCTTAAAGAACTTCATAAGTATGTTAGAGATTTTAGGATGAAAGTGTGAGATGAATTACTTTAAAACTGACTAACTCTGACTGATCGAATGATTCGATACTCTTGGATGTATTATTCAAGAGCTCTTGAGTTTAAATCCCTTATTGGGTGTTAATAGGGATAGCAACTAGAACCCTTATCTAGTCAATAGTTCAAAGGTTTCAAGAGATTAGTTGAGGTATGCATAAACTGGTTCAAACACCCTCAGTCATTAAAAAAAAAAAACTTTTAAATCTCTTGAGGGTTAAAGGTTATATCCTAAACTAGAGGAGCTTTATATATATAAGGGGTTTAGAGTTATTCTCCCCATTTAAAAAGAAAAAAGAAATACCCATATGAGATTTACCAAAATTAGGTAATTAAAATGGTAGTTTATTAATGTAAAATTATGATCCTTTGAAACAATAGGTGAAGTTGAAGTGAGAGCAATTAATGAGAGGAAGAATACGAAGAGCACTTATAGAGAGGGATGGATATCACATGTAAGCACTTATTTTAGAATCATCTTGTTTAAATAGCAATTATGGTTGGGATTGATTTTTGTGCACAAAAGAACATAGGTGTAAACCCCTAGTCAAGGATTATTAAATTGCCGCTTGTTTTTGTCAAATTTCTTCATAATTATACCAGGGAGATATTACCTATAAATTTGCTCTAATAAATCATTTTCTAACCAATTTGTAATAAAAATATATAAGGGATCTTCTCTTTGAAATAACGTATAACATCTTATATAATATTTCTTACTCAGCTTCGATATTGTATAAGATTAGATTTATCTTTTACCTTAACTCTTTTTTACTATAATTCAAAACACATACCCGTAACTCGAACATTGATATCATTGACGTACAGGGTCAGATTTGTCTTTTACCTAACTCTTTTTTACTACGATTCAAAACACATACCCCTAACTCGAAGTCTCGAAACTTTTTCAAAAGAGTATCATTATCTTATATCTCAAGTTTGTCTTAAATTTAATTGCCATCTTTATACAAGTAACATTAACATGTACATGATGATATTATCCATGGAGCTTGAAAATTTTGTATAAAATTCATGGATATCTAGAAACAAACCATTCCTATTCTTATAGCTTAAAAGAAGAGACTTGAAACCAAGAATATGTAGCTTGGAATTTTGTAAGTGAACACTTCAATGAAGCCCAATATTTTTTAACTAGCCCAAAATGAACCCTTTTGAGGGCCAAGTAACAACAATGTTAGCCCAATATTTTCAATTGGCCCAAAATAGCCCATGTGAGAGCCTAATATATGACTTCATTTATCACATTTAACAAGAATTTAATTTTTGGTAGGGATGGGCGTGACAAGGCCCCCTGGTCCATGAGCATTTTTGAAAGGCAATGGTATAAATAGAGTGGGACTAACAATGTCCCTCCCTAGCCACAAAATTTTGTCCCAAATCCCATCTCTGCCCATCTGATTCTTTGGCAGGGCAGAGATGGGCTCAATTGGACCACTATGTTTCTATAAAATCTCAATTCTGTACGGGCTTTTTACATCCGACATCTCTAATCTAACGCCAAAACACCAAAATGTTGTGAAAAATATACTCCAACTAAATACCAAATACTAAAACAAATTGACGTGGTACTGTTTAAACACTATAAAAAATATATATATTTTGTAATTTTTGTTATTTGTATTTATATTAATTTAATTATTATTTATATTAATATTTATAATAATAAATTCATAATAATTA